GTGGGTGGATCACAAGGTCAAGAGATCGAGACCATCCTGGTTAACATGGTGAAACCCAGTCTCTACTAAAAATACAAAAAATTAGCTGGGCATGGTGGCACGTGCCTGTAATCCCAGCTACTCAGGAGGCCAAGGCAGGAGAATTGCCTGAACCCAGGAGGCGGAGGTTGCGGTGAGCCGAGATCGCGCCATTCCACTCCAGCCTGGGTAACAAGAGAGAAACTCCGTCTCAAAAAAAGAAAAGAAAAGAAAAGAAAGTGAATGTTTGTGGCTTCACGTAAATTTGTAATTTTCAGCTGGGCCCAGTGGCTCACACTTGTAATCCCAGCACTTGGGAGACTGATGCAGGCAGATTGCTTGAGGCCAGGAGTTCGAGACCAGTCTGGCCAACATGGCAAAACCCCATCTCTTCTAAAACGACAAAAATTAGCTGGGCATGGTGGGGTGTGCCTGTAATCCTAGCCACTTGGGAGGCTGAGGCAGGAGAATCACTTGAACTTGGGAGATGGAGATTGCAGTGAGCCCAGATCGTGCCACTGCACTCCAGCCTGGGTAAGTGAGTGAGACTGTGACTCAAAAAAAAAATTTTTTTTTTTTTTTTTTTATCGTGGTCTTAAACTGGACCCAGGTTGGTGACCCAGGTTTTGGAGCTCAGTTAAAATTGACATTTAAGTTTTCTTCTTAAGTGACCAAAAATTCATAAAAGGGTTTGTATGAGGACATAAGTCCCAAATATAAAAATCCTTGGTCCTCTCAGAAGAAAAGCACCTTAGGTGATGGAGGTCACATAGGAATGTCGGAGTTCATAGCTTCGGATGTATAACTGCTCTAGGGAAATCCCAAAGAACAATATACAGGGAAATCTTCTTAACCTAATGGGCACACATAAGGGGTTGGGCTCCCAGTCCCTTAAACCCCCAGAAATTTCTGGGTTTCATTGGGACACATAAGAGGGGAGAGGTGACTTGTGGGTGAAACCTTGAGGAGTAATCACTATTAAGCAGCACACTAGACCCAAAACATCTTTCTCTTTCAATCTTCGGTCAATTTAAAAGAGGATACAAATTAAGGACAACCGTTCATCTAAAACGAAATCCTTTTTAGGGGAAGACCCACTTTCAGAAACTCCAGGTGAATTTATGCACAAGACTTATGGTGCCACCTCCTGTCTATATATAACCTACATACACCAATATGTATATATATGTGGGTGTCGGTACATCTTATGCGACAGGGTCTCGCTCTGTCAGACTGGAGCACAGTGGTGCTATCTCAGCTTACTGCAACCTCCACCTCTGGGGCTCAAGCGATCCTCCCACCTCAGCCTCCCAATGCAAGTGGATGGCACCAGAGGCACACCCACATGCCAGGCTAATTTTTTGAGTTTTTGTAGAGATGGTCTTGCTGTGTCATCCAGGCTTGTCTCAAACTCCTGAGCTCAAGTGATCCTCCTGTCTCAGCCTTCCAAAGCGCTGGGATTACAGGTGTGAGCCAACACAGCCAGCTACCTCCTGTCAATATTTGGAAAAATTGTCTTGCTTGAGCCAAGAAGATCCGGAATTACAATGGCCAAAGTGAGGTACTTGCGAAATGCCTACGTTAGTTTGCTCACGTGCACAATTTTAAAAAGCCAGCTCTAGAATTAAACAATATAATTGGGAGAGTTATTTCCAGTGCTACAGAGAAGCATGCAAAAGAGGCTGTGACACAGTTCTTTTCCTGTAGAAAGAGAATGAAAAGCTCTCTAAAACTGTTCATTCAGAAAAGCTGCTGAAACTGCTGCTTCTCCTCCTTCTGCTCCCCCTTCTTTCTATGCCTCCTTAACAGAACTACCTTGCCCAGACTGACCTTCTCTTCCTTCTCCTCCCCTTACACCCACTCCCAGTTTTTTGACTCCACTTCATGAACATCAAGCATCTGATAGAGGGGAGCCTGCTTTAGTTTATCAACCATGGTCTAAGGTAGAACTTAGAGGCAGAGTTAAATAAGTCCCCGACCCTCGCCAGGGTCCCGTTGGTTTTGCTAAGGAATTTGAATTAAGTATCTGAGCTTATGGCCTTGGTTATTCTGATTCATATCAACTAACTCACATGTGAGTATCAGAAAGTAGAGTTAAAGATGAGAACAAAGCCCATTATAGAAATCTCTTAGAAGATTTTCATAAATGCTCAGAAGAGGACTGTAGGAAGACACACAAACTGCAAAGGCGTTGCTTCAAGCCATCCTCACTGTGTTTCAAAGAGTAGTTGGCTGCAGTAAAATACGATGTCAACAAAATCCAGATGAGTCAGCAACGTCACATTTTGAGAGGTTTAAGTACACTTAAACGATATTCAGGTTTATCTGAAGAAATCTATGTTAATAATCAAAGTGATACTCTTCTCAACTCCAGTTTTATAAATGGGTTAGAGGAAGAATTAGCACTAATAGTGAAAAGACAACACCCTAGCTGGGCCACTTCTCAAACCTCATAATTTGGTCAGTCTTGCTGACCAGTTGTCTCGGCTGAAGATGAAACCGAGAGGGAAGCCAGACAAAAGAGCAAGGCTAATAAAATTATGAATTTACAGTAAAAAAAAAAATATCCACACAATTTGGACCTTCAAAATATCCTTCTAAGCCCCCAAACAGACCTAACCATATACTTTCAATTAATACAAAAAGCCTCCTCACTTTTAAGAGAATTGCCAAAACCTAAAAAGGAAAGAACAACAGGCGGAGGCAGAAAATAAAGAACGGGGGTGTGCCATGGAACTTAAAGGAGCCTTTCCTTTTCTCCTTACTAACACTGTGGAAGACAAGACATTGTTTAAAACTCCCGTACCGGTTTTCCTCCCTATTCTGTGGAAGCATTGCTAAACTCACACCACACTCAACAGTATTCAACTTGTAGACTAGCTTCATACAAAATTTCACTTTCAGCTTCTCACATCACCTCTCTAGATGTAGTAAGCTAAATATTGCAACTCTGTTTCCTTCACTTTTAGATGAAACAACACAACTGCATAAGTCTAACTGCAAACTTTGTTTCTCCGAAGTGATCTGCAAGAGACTCTTCCTACTTAGGCTGATGTTGTGTGGTTTACGGACGGATGTTACGTAATGGATGAATCTGGAACTTACTGTACAGGTTTATGTAATAGTGTTTTCAACCGAAGAAATAGAAAGTGCTTACCTTCCAGAAGCCACTTAGATTAGCTCCTGTCTTTGTACCACAACTGGATATTGAAGATGTCATTTGCCATGTAGAGGCCCTAACCTACTACACACAAAAGGCCCTAAATGACAGCACATGAATGTCTCATTATTATATACTGAATTTACTCTCACGAGAAGACTGTATTACAAAACTATATGGTCTTGGACATACTCACTGCAGCCCAAGGAGGAACCTGTGCCATGACAGAAACTGAACGCTGTGTTTATATCCCAGATGAATCAAATAACATCACCAAATTAATGACTGATTTGAAAAACTCAAGTAATTAACCTTTTGGATCCAAACCCTCTCTAAGCTACCAGTTAAGTAGTTGATTTGGATCTTGGAGAACCTGGTGACAAAAGCTGTTACGTATTTTAAGAATTATAATCATGGTTTGTGTTTTGTCTTGCCTTTGTCTGCAGAGCTGTTATGGTATTTATCTGCAATTGGGTCAACATATAGCTGAGAAAATTAGAACAATGACTACTCAAAGAATTCTTTGATTTAAGAGGCAGCTATGTAGCCTGAATCAGGTTCCAGAACTACTTTCTCTCGTTGCTTTATAGTTCGGACCTGGTCCTTTCCGATTTCCCCTCCTTCCTGGGATGTGACTGCCTAGGAAGGAGCCTTCCTAGTGACATGAGGTTTGATCAAATACAGGACCTGAGAATATAATTCTTCTATAATGCTTTTTCTGAAAGCTTTTGAAGAAAAGAGCGGGGGTGGGGGGAAATGTGAAAGAATATTTCAGCACCTTCCAAATATGTTATGCCAAGGGAAAAAGTTAAGCCCCGTAAACGAAATCACAGAACATGGCTGTTTTTCTTCTCTGGTGCATGACTGTTGCTTCCTGATCTTTGTGTTGTTATATATTAACCAGATTTTAAATTCTTTATTCAGATTAAGTGACGTTGGAGATAGAAACCCTTGTGATTGTTACCTCTTTACAATGGAATGTTAACCCCCTTAAAGTGTAGTCAATAGTAGCGAATTAAATCTTCTGCGTACGTTAGCCTCATCTAGAAAATGCTGTAATTCCATACAGCACCCCTGTTTTTGGCGATATAAACGCCCCTGATCACCATTCTTTGCTGTCAGTGTTTGACAGGATAGCCACTCTTACACTTCGCACTTGAACAAACTCTTTTAACTGGATCCCTGAGCCTTCTAGTTACTTTAGGCTGACATTAGTTAGTTAACTAGTTAGTTCTGCAGTCTGTTAATTCTGAGGGGTTGACCAGAGGTCCTCTAAGGTCCCTTCCAACTCCTAACATTCCACGATTTCGTGAATTTAAAGACTATGGTTGCCCTGTATTAACTGGGTTCAGGACTAAGATAAATTAAGTCATCCAATCGACAAATATTTATTACAGTTTACTATTGTGTGTAGGTGTATCTGTGGAAATAGGAACCTGTATTTTGGTGCACTGCTGCCTCCAAATCGCGGATCTACAACTTTTTCAGCAGAAATTTTCTAAGCTTCCCGCACCAGCCAGAGACGGAGATTGTGCGTCGGACGCAGCCAAGGGTTGCTAAGGAGTCCGACTTGGTCCAAAACGGAAGTGGTCCCTGACAATTACTTTCCCAGGAAGCTTACTTTTGAAAAACTAAGCTATTCCAATTCGCCTTTTCCTAAAGTAAACTCATAAATAGAGACACAACTAAACTTTCGCTCTCGGCGCAGCAGAGAACGACGCTCTCCTCCCGAGAATAACCTCTGCTCTTCCGCGGGGGAAGCTGCATGGAACCAGGAAGCCGCGGGTGCTGGTTCTCCAACGAGCTTTTCTCCCGACGGACCAGCCGCGGCGGGGTTGCCGTGGAAACCGAGCGTGCTGTGTGGATGCGGCGAAACGCTGTGGCGCGGCCTTTGCTGTCTGTCTGCGGAGGGAACTCACAACACCGACGTCAAGATGGTTAGTGGCTCTGAATAATGAGGGAATACTTTGAGTAGGTCCTGATTCTGGCGATTAGAGGTTCCCAGCACACTTCTGTGTAAATCTAGGTGTGCCCGCAGAGGGTAATCCCCTGCTCTCCCTGGGTTCCCACGGTGGGCAGGGATGTACATACCTGGATGCTTTCTTCCCTCCTGCTTCTCCATTTAACCACATCTAAACCACACGTGGGATGGGAAGCAGAGGAAGGGAAAGCTGAGATGACAGAAGCTATGCGAAAGCATCTTTTGCCGCACTCGAACCAGAGAAGATAAAGTTGGGAGTAGCTCTTTGGTCCTTCCTAAGTATTGGGTGATGTTTCTGCTAGTAGAACACCTGTTATAAAACGAGTTTGAATAGGCTTCCCTGGGGTTCGTTGCTAAGGATTTGACTTATAAATTACAGAGCTGTCACTCTTAGTTTAAATCTGATTATTGGAATTGGACCGCACAGCTGTCCTTGTTTCTTTCACAGATGCTTTCAAGGGCCAAACCTGCCGTAGGCGGGGATGTCCAGCACACTGACAAAAGAAAGAAGAAAGGTAGGAAGATTCCAAAACTAGAGGAGCTCCTTTCACAAAGAGATTTCACTGGAGCTATTACCCTGTTGGAGGTAATGTCCAAAAACGTTACTTCTTAATGGGTGAATACCAGACTGATGAATGATTGGGTGCATGCTGGTTGCTAAGCTGTTGAAATAGATGGGTACATTCTGGGGCTTCCTGTACAAATCCCCTGTAAATCTAGTCAGGCCGAGATTCCAGATTCTAAGTTAACTGTAAACCTGATAAAAGATGAACTAAAAATCTAATTTCTTGAGGGCCACTTTTGATTATGTCGAGGTCACTGATGGTGATTGTAATCTAAAAATATGGAGGGACATTTAATACAATGTCAGTTAACACATTGCTTATCCCAACCCTTGGCCAATGTATGATTTTTTCCTATTACGTGTTCGAAAATTTTGCTCAAATTTAAGTAATTCTAACATGCTTATTGTTGAAAATATTATAGCCCCAGAAAATATTTCAAATCTCTATGGCAGTAGTTCTCAGAACCTTTTAATATACGTCGGAATTACCTAGGGTACTTAATAGGATATCAATTCCTGGGCTCCTGCTCTAGGTCTGCAGTGGTGCTCAGGAATCTGCATTTTAAGGTGCGTAGTCTAAGTGCTTCTGATGGAGATGGTCCCAGGGACTGCGCTTTGAAAGACTGCTTTGTGGGAAACACATGTTATAGGAGGGTGAAGTCTGCACCAAAGAACAAAGAGTTCTGACAGCATGTTCTAGTTGTGTTGTGCCACAGTTATTTCTCTTAAAATACTCCATCCATATTAGTCTGAATCTACCATTAATAATTGTTATAATTCGGTTTGCATATATTTCTTCATTTTCCATGTATAGTTTGCTTTATTATTTATTTATTTATTTTTTTGAGATGGAGTTTTACTCTTGTCACCCAGGCTGGAGTGCAATGGCACAATCTTGGCTCACTGCAACCTCTACCTCCTGGGTTCAAGCGATTCTCCTGCCTCAGCCTCCCAAGTAGCTGGGATTACAGACCCCCGCCACCACGCCTGGCTAATCTTTTGTATTTTTAGTAGAGATGGGGTTTCACTATGTTGGCCAGGCTGGTCTCCAACTCCTGACCTCAGGTGATCCACCCGTCTCAGCCTCCCAAAGTACTGGGATTACTGGTGTGAGCCACCGCGCGCGGCCTAGTTCTCTTTCTTACTAGTGTTCTGGTATTGAGCATGTTGTTTAGCTTTTTGTGTGTCAGCTTTCTTATCTTTACAGTGGGGAGTTGGCATGGAAGCACCTTCTAGTTTTGTGAATGAGTGGACTGAGTGCTGTGTATATGTCTATCTTCATCAGTCTGTTTTCCTTTTTTTCTTTAAGACAATGACCCCTTTTTCCTTACTGTATAACACCAGGTTGCCTTTATTTTATTTTATGTTTGAGACAGGGTCTCACTCTGTCATCCAGGCTGGAGTGCAGTGATGTGATCGTGGCTCCCTGCAGCCTCAACCTCCGCTCACATGATCCTCCCACCTCAGCCTCCCAAGTAGCTGAGACTGCAGGCATGTGCCACTATGCCTGGCTAATTTTCATCCAGTTGGTTGTTTATGTGTGTGTGTGGAGACGGGGGTCTCACCATGTTGCCCAGGCTGGTCTTAAACTCCTGGGCTCAAGGGATCCGCCTGCTTCTGGCCTCCCAAAATGCTGGGAGTTACAGGGCCAGACTGATTCTTTTTTTTTTTTTTTTTTTTTTTTTTTTGAGATGGTGTTTCACTCTTGTTACCCAGGCTGGAGTGCAATGGCACGATCTCGGCTCACTGCAACCTCCGCCTCCTGGGTTCAGGCAATTCTCCTGCCTCAGCCTCCTGAGTAGCTGGGATTACAGGCACGGGCCACCATGCCCAGCTAATTTTTTGTATTTTTGGTAGAGACGGGGTTTCACCATGTTGACCAGGATGGTCTTGATCTCTTGACCTCGTGATCCACCCGTGTCAGCCTCCCAAAGTGCTGGGATTACAGGCTTGAGCCACCGCACCCGGCCTGTGCTTACATTCTTAGGTAGTTGGTTGGAGTACCATGCTGCATGGGAATGGAAACTGCTATGGTTTCGGGTGAGGTAGTCTCATGCACTTTCCTGTAGCTCCAGGGAATTCAGGGAGACCTCAGGTGAGAATTTCTCCAGAATTAAGGCACTATTTTCAAATTCATAGCATTGCATTTGGTGTAAGGAGGATTTCTAATGTTGTAGAGTTAGCTACAGGAGCAAATTCTTATCCCAGATAAGAAAATATCAAAGAAATGTCTTCATTTTATAATGATTGAGGCATCTGAAGTTCTATAGTGATGCTCTGTAAATATGTGTTGGCCCACTATTTGATTTATCACCCTGTAGAGTGAAAAAAAAAAATCTTACCTTGGGCCGGGCGCGGTGGCTCAAGCCTGTAATCCCAGCACTTTGGGAGACTGAGGCGGGTGGATCACGAGGTCAAGAGATCGAGACCATCCTGGTCAACGTGGTGAAACCCCGTCTCTACTAAAAATACGAAAAATTAGCTGGGCATGGTGGCTCGTGCCTGTAATCCCAGCTACTCAGGAGGCTGAGGCAGGAGAATTGCCTGAACCCAGGAGGCGGAGGTTGCGGTGAGCTGAGATCACGCCATTGCACTCCAGCCTGGGTAACAAGAGCGAAACTCCATCTCAAAAAAAAAAAAAAAAAAAAAAAAAAATCTTACTTTACTGCCAAAATTCAGAATTCTGTGTCAAGGTCTTAGTTCTTTCCTTGAAAATAAGGCTTTTCTTTTGTTGGCAGAGGAATTCATAAAATATTTGTTCACAGTGGACATAATTGAGTCCAAGTCTTCCGAACATCCTTAACTCTTGTAGGCCTGGTAAGCTAGCCTGCTCAAGGGTAATAGAAAGATTTAATGGCTTGTCCTCAGTGAAAGGTTATAACCTATTAGTAAATATATGTGTGTGCTAATGCAACAGGACTGAAGTGGGAGGTTAAATGCAGTAGAGCACAGGGGGTGACAGCATGGGCTTTGGAGTCAGACATTTCTTTAAGTCCCTGTCAGCACACATACTGGCTGTGGGGTCTTGAGTTCATGGTTCAGCCTCTCTAACCTTCAGTTATTTGGCTTTAAATATTTTACACAATCCTGTCCCTTATGTATCACCTACAATTGTTAGGCAACTCAAATGCTTTTTGGGGTACAATATCATTAGATACAGAATGCCAAATGGGAAATGTTTGAAAATATAAATTTCTGTGACAATTAGAAGGTAATTGTCCTGTTTAATTAAACATCTTATTGTCATGCTTCTAATACTTAGATTGCCTGTTGTTCATCAGTAACTCAACATAGCATTTTTTTAAAACAGAGAGTTTACTATTCAGAGTTTTTCATGATTTTTTAAAATACATTTTTAACCTGAAGTTCAAACGTCATGTTGGGGAACAAGAAGAGGACACTAATTTGTGGATTGGATATTGTGCCTTTCACCTGGGTGACTACAAGCGCGCTCTGGAGGTTAGTGTAAAAAAAACCCGTTTTTTCCTAACAGAAGTGTGTTTAAAATGTTATTAAACTTTATATTATAATAATACATGTCCATGGTAAAATTCAAACAATCCAGATGGAAACAAAAAGAAGTTACCTATTTGTGTTCCTCAATTATACTTGTTAATGAAGGCAACTACTGACTTTTAAAAAATTTATCACTTCAGTAGTTGTCTATATTGTAATATGCTCCATTAAAGTAGTTCCCTCTTGGGCCGGGCGCGGTGGCTCAAGCTTGTAGTCCCAGCACTTTGGGAGGCCGAGGCGGGTGGATCACGAGGTCGAGAGATCGAGACCATCCTGGTCAACATGATGAAACCCCGTCTCTACTAAAAATACAAAAAATTAAAAATTAGCTGGGCGTGGTGGCGCGTGCCTGTAATCCCAGCTACTCAGGAGGCTGAGGCAGGAGAATTGCCTGAACCCAGGAGGCGGAGGTCGCGGTGAGCCAAGATCGCGCCATTGCACTCCAGCCTGGGTAACAAGAGTGAAACTCCGTCTCAAAAAAAAAAAAAAATAGTTCCCTCTTGTCCATGGTTTTGCTTCCCGGGGTCAAGCTCAGTTACCCAAGGTCAATCTCAGTCCAAAAATAGGTGAGTACAGTATAATAAGATATTTTCAGAGAGAGAGAGAGAGAGAGAGCAAAAAGAGACCACATCCTCATAACTTTTATTACCATATATTGTTATAGTTCTATTTTATTATCAGTTATTGGTGTTAATCTCTTATTGTGTCTAACTTATAAATTAAACTTTATCATAGGTGTGTATGTATAGGAAAAAACATAGTATATATAGGATTCAATACTATCCAAGGTTTCAGACGTCTACTAGGCATCTGTCCCCCATGGATAAAGAAGGATGACTGTATGTGTACCTGTATCTTGTATACATTTTACTTTACATGCATACTAATGAGATCGTACAACATATTGGTATTAGGATTTATTAAGTAAATCTTCAGAACAGGAAAATTAAGACATTTTGATAAAAACTTGCATGAGTCTTCTCTGAAGAGAATTTCACTTTTCTTTTGCTTGGTTATTTTTAGACATAGGAACAATTATATTATCTTTATATTTTTGCAAGTAGAATTGTTTGGGAATTTGTTTTTCTTGGTCATTGTAAACCCTACCCATCTACAATAATTAATCAATAGGATTATGGATTTAAATAAAATTATAGATGCCTTACATCAAATAATTTTTAATTCACAAATGAAATTGCTTGAGCATTTCCTACATATTCTTTTTTCTTTTTTTGAGACGGAGTTTCACTCTTGTTACCCAGGCCGGAGTGCAATGGCGCGATCTCTGCTCACTGCAACCTCCGCCTCCTGGGCTCAGGCAATTCTCCTGCCTCAGCCTCCTGAGTAGCTGGGATTACAGGCACATGCCACCATGCCCAGCTAATTTTTTGTATTTTTAGTAGAGACGGGGTTTCACCATGTTGACCAGGATGGTCTCGATCTGTCGACCTCGTGATCCACCCACCTCGGCCTCCCAAAGTGCTGGGATTACAGGCTTGAGCCACCGCGCCCGGCCCATTTCCTACATATTCTTATTCCCAAGATGTAATCTAAGCAAATTTGAAAAACCTGCATAACTAAAATGAAAATATTCGCCGGGCGCAGTGGCTCAAGCCTGTAATCCCAGCACTTTGGGAGGCTGAGGCGGGTGGATCACGAGGTCAAGAGATCGAGACCATCCTGGTCAACATGGTGAAACCCCGTCTCTACTAAAAATACTAAAAATTAGTTGGGCATGGTGGCGCGTGCCTGTAATCCCAGCTACTCAGGAGGCTGAGGCAGGAGAATTGCCTGAACCCAGGAGGCGGAGGTTGCGGTGAGCCGAGATCGCGCCATTGCACTCCAGACTGGGCAACAAGAGCAAAACTCTGCCTCAAAAAAAAAAAAAAAAAAGAAAAAGAAAAAGAAAATATTCAAGGACAGGTAATGAGGAGGCGAGCTGTAGAACAAAGGAACAGGTTGGGCTCAGTGGTTCACGCCTATAATCCAAGCACTTTGGAGACCAAGGCGGGTGGATCACCTGAGGTCGGGAGTTCAAGACCAGCCTGACCAACATGGTGAAACCCCATCTTAAAAAAAAAAAAAAGAACAAAGGAACAGAGTTGGTGAAGGAAAAGGGAAGATGTGCAAAGGACAGGATAGAGGCGGGTAGTATTTGTAAAAGGCGTAGGAGGAAAGGAAGAACAACCCACGTGTGGTAAGAAACAACACCTGGGAAAGACTGATCAAAAGTGAGAGTATATGGGAAATGTCATTGGCAAAGTGAATCTCAGAAAGCGTCCTTGGCAGGAAAAACAAAATATTTAAAAAATATGAAGCCCACCCCCCCAACATATAAAAAAAGCCAGAAAACAATTAGAATGAAATGGAATTTGTAGTGTATTAAAGCTATCAGATTTTAAGTTAACTGAACATAGGACTTTCTTTTTTTTTTTTTTTTTGAGACGGAGTTTCGCTCTTGTTACCCAGGCTGGAGTGCAATGGCACGATCTCGGCTCACGGCAACCTCCGCCTCCTGGGTTCAAGCAATTCTCCTTCCTCAGCCTCCTGAGTAGCTGGGATTACAGGCACGTGTCACTATGTCCAGCTAATATTTTGTATTTTTAGTAGAGACGGGGTTTCACCATGTTGACCAGGATGGTCTCGATCTCTCGACCTCGTGATCCACCCGCCTCAGCCTCCCAAAGTGCTGGGATTACAGGCTTGAGCCACCGCGCCCGGCCAGGACTTTCTTAAGGGGATCTTGTATGTCTTTTTAAATTAGCAGAAATAAAATAGTTCAGTTATTCTTTGTTTCTGTTGTTTGTTAGTCCCTATCAATATTAATTGGGGGACAAAAACCACAAGTACAAGATCATATGGACAGTAGCCCTGCAGATGTAGGATTGAACTTTAGCTTCAGTATTTAACCTTTTCAGATATAGAATAATTGCCAAGCGTGTAGGATTCCCTAAATGGTAAATTGCTTAATCTCAGTATGAAATCCTATTCCATTGTGGAAGAATGGCCCATCAATTGCTTTGCTGCCAAAACAAGATCACTGCTTACTGTATATTTCAGGAATACGAAAATGCTACAAAAGAAGAGAATTGTAATTCTGACGTCTGGGTGAACCTAGCTTGCACCTACTTCTTTCTTGGGATGTATAAACAAGCCGAAGCAGCTGGATTTAAAGGTAAAAGGGCTCTTTTCATCTGATATTCTTCACTCATAGTAAGAGTCGTTTTGAAGATTTTAAAACTTAGTGTATTCCTTTTTCTGTTGAGGAAAAAAAAAGATTGACATTGGAAAGCTCAAAAAAAAAATAGCTTTAATCCTCAAAGAATATTGGATTTGAGTAATTTATGTTTAAAGAGAGAGTTAGCCAGGCATGGTGACTCATGCCTGTAATCCCAGCACTGCCTAGGAGGCCTAGGCAGCTGGATTGCCTGAGCTCAGGAGTTCGAAACCAGCCTGAGCAACATGGTGAAACCCTGTTTCTACTAAAAATACAAAAATTAGCCAGATGTGGTGGCAGGTTCCTATAATCCCAGCTACATGGGAGACTGAGGCAGGAGAATCACTTGAACCCAGGAGGCGGAGGTTGTGGTGAGCTGAGATTGTGCCACTGCACTCCAGCCTGGGCAACAGAGTGAAACTCTGTCTCAAAAAAAAAAAAAAAAAAAAATAGAATTAATGCTACACCCCACCAGGCTACAGCCAAAAAGCAGAAGGATAAAGGAAGAGAAAGGGCTGGGTGTCTTTCTTAGGCCCCGTCATGGGAGAATAGGCATGCTGTTGGTGGTAGTTAGGTAGAGTTTTGTTCAGACTTTTACAGCTGTGGACTTTGTGGCTGCTTTTCCTGTTTCTGAGTGAGAAGCCCAGCAATTTCAGCTTGAAGAATCCAGAAATCATCCCTTCTGCTTTCTTACTTATGGATATTCATCTCAGGGCAATTGTACTCAAATTTGAAAATAAGGACAAAATTAAAACGGCAGAAAAAGTTAATTAGAGTCCGAACCAACTTAAGTTCAAGAAAATGCAGAGAAAAGTGGGCACTGTAATATTTGATAGGGAAGAATGTATTCAAGGTAGAATTAATTTATACATATCAAGAATTTCAGCTCGATTGTGTGCTGTGGCCCACGCCTGTAATCCTAGTACTTTGGGAGGCCGAGGTGGGTGGATCACTGAGGTCAGGAGTTCAAGACCAGCCTGGCCATCATGGTGAAACCCCATCTTTATTAAAAAAAAAAAAAAAAAAAAAAAAGAATTTCAGCCCAAATTCATGGCAAATGTGGAACTTGAAGACTTTTTTTTTTTTTTTTTTTTTTTAAAGACAGGGTCTCACTATGTTGTCCAAGCTGAAATACAGTGGCTATTCATATGTATGAGCATAGCATCTTAAAGCCTCAAACTCCTGGCTTCAAGCCAGCCTCCAGCCTCTGCCTTCTGAGTAGCTGAGACTACAGACACACCTGCCACCATACCCAGCAAAGCCTTTCTTGATTCGTACCCAAATTGTTTCATATGTGCTTATATAGTTTTTCCTAATTTCATTATAAGGTCCTTTATGTTACTTACTTTATCTCATATTTCTAGGCTTCATCTGTGCTAAGAACAGTGTTAGACACATAAAAGGTGATCACGACAGCTATCTCTATTTCTTTTTTTTTTTTCTTTCTTATAGATTGAAGTATGACTTTTTCTGTAAAAGAGGTAGAATTGGGTATCCAGAATCAGGAAGTTTTCCAAGAATGCAAAGGATATTTGGAACTTAAAAGCTGTTAATATTTTCTTGACTTCCTGTTTCAGTGTGGCACATAATTATGCTAGAAAGTCTGTGGAATAGAGACTAGGCTAGTATTTAGGAAAATATGGCAGTATAATTGTAGAAAAGGAAATAGCAGAATTAACAAAGAATACTGGGACTAGGAGCTGAGTGAGAGTGGATTCATACACACATCGAGATGACCATGGCGTCTATTCCCAGTGTTTGGTTTGGTATATGAACAACACAGAGGCAAGCTGCTACTCTAACCATGTGTGTGGGGTGTTGTGTTGTGGATCATCGTAATAGGATCAGGTAGACTAAGCAGTGGAGAAGAGCGAAATCTTAGCACATTTCTCTTCTGGTTCTTTTTTTTTTTTTTTTTTTTTTTTTTTTGAGACGGAGTTTCACTCTTGTTACCCAGGCTGGAGTGCAATGGCGCGATCTCGGCTCACCGCAACCTCCGCCTCCTGGGTTCAGGCAATTCTCCTGCCTCAGCCTCCTGAGTAGCTGGGATTATAGGCACGCGCCACCATGCCTAGCTAATTTTTTGTATTTTTAGTAGAGACAGGGTTTCATCATGTTGACCAGGTTGGTCTCGATCTCTCGACCTTGTGATCCACCCGCCTCGGCCTCCCAAAGTGCTGGGATTACAGGCTTGAGCCACCGCACCCAGCCTCTCTCTTCTGGTTCTTGATGCTGTTTCTGCTACTGCAGGTGGAGACCAGACTCAAACAATATATATTCTAGCAGAGACATACCTAGGATCAGATAAGTAAGATTTGAGAAGATCATCCGAGTTTCATTTCATTCCTACAAGGGACTGCTAGACCTAGACTGTTGAATTCTTTAATAAGCAGCTTGGATTTTTTTTTTTTCAGCTTCAAAAAGCCGACTCCAAAATCGCCTCCTCTTCCACTTGGCTCACAAGGTATTTATGTTCTCATTTCACATTGTTTTGTTTTAAAAATATTTTTCTTTTTCTTCCTTCTTGTTACTAACACTAGTGAGAGATAATTAATTAGAAATTATTGTTAATAATTTTCTAGAACAAGTGGAATATAACTTAATTATATAGGATTTTCTCCTCTATCAGTTTTCTTTTTTTTCTTTTTTTTTTTTTGAGTCTTGCCCTGTCGACTGGCTGGAGTGCAGTGGAACCATCTTGGCTCACTGCAATCTCTGCCTCTTGGATTCAAGAGATTCCCCTGCCTCAGCCTCCCGAGTAACTGGGATTGCAGGCATGCACCACCATGCGCAGATAATTTTTTGTATTTTAGTAGAGACGGGGTTTCACCATGTTGGCCAGGATGGTCTCAATCTCCTGATCTCATGTTCCGCCCGCCTGGGCCTCCCAAAATGCTGGGATCACAGGTGTGAGCCACTGTGCCCGGCCCAATGTTCTTTACCCTCTTAATTTATTCAGAGATGTTAGGTTTTATTTCTCCTTAAGCCACCGTCATAAGAAGTTTAGACCAGGCGTAGTGGCTCACACCTGTAATCTCAGCAGTTTGGGAGGCCAAAGCTGTTAGATCACCTGAAGTCAGGAGTTCGAGACCAGCCTGGCCAACATGGTGAAACCCTGTGTCTACTAAAAATACAAAAAAAATTAGCTAGGCGTGGTGGCACACACCTTTAATCCCAGCTGCTGGGGAAGCTGAGGCAGGAGAATCACTTGAACCCAGGAGGCAGGAGTTGCAGTGAGCCAAGATTGCACTACTATACTCCAGCCTGGGCGACAGAGCAAGACTCTGTCTCAAAGAAAAAAGTTTAGTTTGTGTCAACTATCCTATTATTTCTTAGGAAATAGACTCAGAGACACCTTGTTCTGATTCCTAGAAATAAATATATACTTTTCAGAATTGCTATATGGTAATAATTTTGATAATGATTAAATTATTTTTTAAATAATAGTTTTTCAAATTTAAATTTTTAAATAATTGTTTAATGTATTTTTTAAAATTTTATAGCATTCCACCAAATGCATCATATGTGTCATTATTTATTCAACATTTCCTAGTTATTTGACTTTTAGATTTATAATTTTTAAAATTTATAAAAATGTCATTCTGAACATCTTAGAAATGGACATGCCTATTGGGTATAAGCATCTTCAAAGCTTTTAATTGATATTGCTAAGTTGTTTTACAGAAAGTTTAATCACCCACGGGCATTATATGAAAATAATTATTTTTGGTACATTTAGAAATTCCACATCATAATTGTCACTTTGTCTCTTTCTCTTTCTAATTCTGCCTTACATGTTTTTCAGACTCTATCATTAAGTGCATACAAACTTAGAATTGCTAGTAGACTGTCTAGCAATAATGTCTTCCTAGTAGACTGAAATATATACTATCATGAAATGTCTCTCATCTCTAAAAAATTTCTCATGGACATATTTGTAAGTGATACCAGCTCTCTTTTGGGTAGTATTTGCCTATTATATCTCTTTATCCTTTTACTTTCTACCTTTCTGTGTCCTTATATTTAAGGTGACTCTTATAAACAGCATATAAATGAGTTTTGTGGGTTTTAAAATCCAGTTAAAATCTTTATTAAAAAAATCTCTAGTATACAATTAATTTACTTAATGTGTTTACAAATACGATTAGCTGCATAACTGCCATCCTGTTATTAGTTCTCTCTTTGCCCAGCTGGTCCATGTGGTCTGGGTTTCTTTTTCATTTCTTTGTTGTCTTTTTTTGGATTGATTTTTTAAATTATATATTTTCCCTCCATTGGTTGTAGTTATGTACATTCTTAGGATTTAGCAGTTTTACTCATGTGTCTTTTGCATATTAAAAAGTTTGATATTAATTAGTACTTTTACCAATTTCTAGAAAATTAAAGGACCTTAGATCATTTTAACTCATTTACTCTTTATCTTTTCTGCAAATTTGAAATATATCTTAAGTGTCTATGTTTCTAATCCCATAAGACTGTTTAATTACTGTTTTATGCAATTAATATTCATTTATAATTAGCCATATTTATCCTTTCCATTGTTCTTTATTTCTTCTTGCATGTTTGTGCTCCCATCTAAAATCATTTTCCATTTGAGGAATTTCCTTTAATATTTCCTTTAGTGGTGATGAATTCTCTATTTTTATCTAAAAATATTTTTATTTTGCTATCTTTCTTAAAGATTTTTGTTTTCTCAGTGTAGAGTTGTAGGCAGGTAGGTACTTTTTATTTTTGCTTAGCATTTTGAAGATGTTGCTTTATTGCTTCCTAGTCCTTGTCTCTACTGACACGTTAGCCGTCAGTCTTATAGTTGTTCCTGTTTTTTTTTTTTCTGATCACATTTAAGATTTATGTATTGTTTTTTCTTATTAGCACTTCTCTTATAATATTCCCAGATAGGGTTTTCTTTCTTTTCTTTTCTTTTTTTTTTTTTTTGAGACGGAGTTTCGCTCTCGTTACCCAGGCTGGAGTGCAATGGTGCGATCTCGACTCACCGCAACCTCTGCCCCCTGGGTTCAGGCAATTATCCTGCCTCAGCCTCCTGAGTAGCTGGGATTACAGGCACGCGCCACCATGCCCAGCTAATTTTTTGTATTTTTAGTGGAGATGGGGTTTCACCATGTTGACCAGGATGGTCTCGATCTCTTGACCTTGTGATCTGCCCGCCTCGGCCTCCCAAAGTGCTGGGATTACAGGCTTGGGCCACCGCGCCCGGCAGGGTTTTCTTTGTATTATACTACATCAGGTTCATAGTGCTTGCTTAAGTTTTTTTTTTTTAATCAAAAATAATCCTTGGTTATTTTTTCTTCAGATTTTGCTTCTGCTCTATACTCTCTTCTTTCCTTCTAGGATCTCAATAATATACATGTATGTAGACCTTTTATTTATATCACATGTAAACACTTTGTAACATTTTCTATACATTTTCTGCAGAAATTTCTTTTACTAATCATCATTCTTCAGCTGTGTCTAATCAGCTATTCTATTTAGTTCTTAATTTCAGTTCTTAATTTCTTATAGAATTTACATTTTGTTGTTTTTTTAATTTCTAATTTACAGCTCAAATTTTCTAATTTTTATTTTAATTTCTTAAACATATTGATAACAGTTATTATTTTTTTTTTTTTGAGATGGAGTTTCGCTCTTGTTACCCAGGCTGGAGTGCAATGGCGTGATCTCGGCTCACCGCAACCTCCGCCTCCTGGGTTCAGGCGATTCTCCTGTCTCAGCCTCCTGAGTAGCTGGGATTACAGGCACGCGCCACCATGCCCAGCTAATTTTTTGTATCTTTAGTAGAGACGGGGTTTCACCGTGTTGACCAGGATGGTCTCGATCTATCGACCTCGTGATCCACCCGCCTCGGCCTCCCAAAGTGCTGCGATTACAGGCTTGAGCCACCACGCCCGGCCTTTGATAACAGTTATTTTTAAAGTCCACGTCTAGTAATTCCAATAGTGTATCTCTGGACAGCTGTTTCTTGGTTTTCAGTCAAATGTTCTTGACCCCTGGTTTGCTTATTGTGTTTAATGTTGGCTATTAAATATTGCAATATTATGTTTAATGCTGGCTATTAAATAATGGAGATAATTTGAAGCTCTCGATGATTTTGTCTTCTTCCAGGAAGGATTTAGAATTTACTTTTACTTCTGTCAGGTACATAGAATAGGGGCAGATGAACTGAAACCTGTCAGAGATTGCAACGAGTTAAAGCTGGTGTATTTCCAGTTTACCTTTATTTCTAGGATAGCTTTCCAGGGGTCCCAACTGATAGCTTGGTGGGCCCCAATCTCTGTTTTTTGGTCCATTAAGCCTGTAAGACTTCTTGAAGCTCTACTTAGTTTTCAGCAACTCAGCCACCAATTGAGAATTGGTAGGTACCATTTAAGAAAAGGTGGTGCTAAATATCAGAATTACCTCTTTGCACTTCTTGCTGGGGATCTTGGTATCTCTCAAGTTTCCATTCACTTGGTAGCTCTCTGATCCTTCCACACAAATTTTTTTTGTTTTGTTTTTTTTGAGACAGGATTTCACTTCCAGTCACCCAGGCTGGAGTGCATTGGCGCCATATCGGCTCACTCTAACCTCCGCCTCCCAGGCTCAAGCAATCCTTGTGCCTCAGCCTCCCAAATCTCTGAGATTACAAGTATATGCCACCATGCCCAGCTGATTTTTGTAGAGACAGGGTTTCACCATGTTTCCCAGGCTAGTCTCAAACTCCTGAGCTTAAGTGATCTACCCACCTCCACCTCCCAAAGTGCTGAGATTACAGGAGTGAGCCACCGTCCCAGCCCCTTTAACACAGATTTTTCAGTAGTTTTTAAGATTTTCTATATGTTCTTGATGGGAGCGCTGCATACTGCAAGCTACTTTAATATTAATAGTAGTGAAAGTCTTTGATTGAATTTAAGAAATATATTTTGTTGTATTTTCCTTTTTCTTTGTTTTTTTGAGACGGAGTCTTGCCAGGCTGGAGTGCAGTGGCACAATCTCGGCTCACTGCAACCTCTGTCTCCTGGGTTCAAGCAGTTCTTCTGCCTCAGTCTCCCAAGTAGCTGGGATTACAGGCATGTGCCACCATGCCCGGCTAATTTTTGTATTTTTAGTAGAGATGGGGTTTCACCATGTTGACCAGGCTGGTCTGGAACTCCTGACCTCAGGTAATCTGCCCACCTTGGCCACCCAAAGTGCGGGGATTACAGGCGTGAGCTACCACACCTGGCCTGTGTTTTTCTTCTGATTACAAAAATAATACATGTTCATCATAGTACATTTAGAAAATAGCAAATTACATACACACAAAAATCAAGATTTCCTGTAAGACCGTCACTTCCAGCTAACACTGTAATATTTTACTCTTTCTTCCAGTCTTTAAAAAATTTGTATTTTTATGTATGTATATATATGTGTATTTATATTGCTAAATTTGGATCATAGTATATATTCTATTTTATAACCAGGCTTTTTACTTAAAAGTGTATCATGGGCCGGGCACGGTGGCTCAAGCCTGTAATCCCAGCACTTTGGGAGGCCAAGGCGGGTGGATTACGAGGTCAAGAGATCGAGACCATCCTGGTCAACATGATGAAACCCCGTCTCTACTAAAAATACAAAACATTAGCTGGGTATGGTGACACGTGCCTGTAATCCCAGTTACTCAGGAGGCTGAGGCAGGAGAATTGCCTGAACCCAGGAGGCGGAGGTTGTGGTGAGCTGAGATCATGCCATTGCACTCCAGCCTGGGTAACAAGAGCGAAACTCCGTCTCAAAAAAAAAAAAAAAAAAAAGTGTATCATGAACATTTTTCCATGTTACTGAATAGTCTACAGAAGACAATTCTTTACAAAATTTTTAAGCTTATAAGTCATTCTCTATCAGGCAGGAGTGAGCAATCTGCATATTAAGGATCACTGTCAAAAATATATCTGTTCTGCCCCATATATAAGCAAAAGGCAACTAATATTTGCAGTAGCCATCTAACAAAATAAGCATTACAAGGTTGGAATAGAATTCTGACGATCTCAAACAACAACAATGTATAGTAACTAAAGAAAAAATGAGAAAATGTAGAGTAGGAAATTAAAAATTGAATTCACTAAGTTACATGATGAGAAATACATTTTGACTCCTCATTGACTACCAAGAAGAATGAGATACGAAAGAACAGGTTAAAAATGTTACCAGGTCAACGTAGAGGCTAAAAAGAAAAAAAGAAAAAAAAGAAAGAAAAAAGGAAAGGGAGAAAATATAAAGAAAAAGAAAAGATACGGAGAGGATCAAATAATATTACCTGTAACCTAAGGGCTTTCCATTGTCATTGTCAAGCTGTGCCTCCAGAGGCTATCTGCATTCTTTCTTTGCAGGGGAAATGAAGTAGAAGGCAAGGAGCCTAAGGGAAATAGGAAGAAGAAAGAGACACAATTTTAAAGAAGAGTTAAAAACTCTATCACACAGATGTTGATTTCTCTAACAACACTAATGTGAAGCTTTACATGTCTTTTCCACTCTCACTCACAATTTTAGTTTAATGATGAGAAAAAGTTGATGAGCTTTCATCAGAATCTTCAGGATGTCACAGAAGATCAACTCAGTTTGGCCTCAATCCACTATATGCGATCTCATTACCAAGAAGCTATTGATATATATAAGCGAATACTGCTAGACAACAGGTCTGTGTCCTTTTATGCCTACTCTACATTTCTTTCATTTTGTTCTTTTCTTTTGTAACTAGTTTGACTGAGAATCTAGTGTCCTTTGGATGTAGTACCACCATGCATTCAAATCTGTTTAGTTGATTATCTGGTGAGATTAAAAATTAGATATTGTCTAAATCAGGTCTCTTATCTTTTTTTTTTTTTTTTTTTTGAGACGGAGTTTCGCTCTTGTTACCCAGGCTGGAGTGCAATGGCGCGATGTCGGCTCACCGCAACCTCCGCCTCCTGGGTTCAGGCAATTCTCCTGCCTCAGCCTCCTGAGTAGCTGGGATTACAGGCACGCGCCACCATGTCCAGCTAATTTTTAGTATTTTTAGTAGAGACGGGGTTTCACCATGTTGACCAGGATGGTCTCGATCTCTTGACCTCGTGATCCACCCGCCTCGACCTCCCAAAGTGCTGGGATTACAGGCTTGAGCCACCGCGGGCCCGGCCTCTTATCTTTTTATCCATTATCACCCTTCCAAAAGACTTTTTCCCCCTAATTACCCTCCCATGAAAGTTTAGTATACTAATATATGTATATTAACATATATCCATTTGTGTACTATAAGTATAACTGTGCTTTACACATAAAATAAATAGGATTTTTTTCATCCTCCCATAAGAACTAATTTTTCCCCTTTGGAAGTGATATTACCCCTGTTGAAATGTATGGTCTAGATGTATCAAACTTAGCATTATAGTTACATTGTAGGTAACTTGCTGACAAAATTAGATACAAACCATTCTGAAGAATTTACATTCCAGCCAGGTGAGGTGGTTCACGCCTGTAATCCCAGCACTTTGGGTGGCTGAGGAGGGCGGATCACAAGGTCAGGAGATGGAGACCATCCTAGTCAACATGGTAAAATCTGTCTTTAAATAAATAAATAAATAAAAGAAAAAAAAAGAATTTACATTTCTACTTTATCACTAAACACTTGACCTCTCTCTCCCTTCCCAAAAATATCTCAGCTTCCTTCCTCCTTTCCTCTTTTGCATTACCTTCTTAGTCGCCTACCTGCTTCCATTTCCAGCCATTGAGTTGGTCTAATGTATGGAGTGTGCTTGTGTTTATGTTCAATTATAGCATATGTTAGTTTTCCAGTATGAACAGCATGAATGTTCCCTTTCTTCTCTTGTTGTCATCTTTCACTCTACTTATATCAAAACACCCAGCTGGGCACGGTGGCTCACACTTGTAATCCCAGCACTTTGAGAGGCCAAGGCAGGCAGATCACAAGGTCAGGAGTTTGAGACCAGCCTGGCCAATATGGTGAAAGCCTGTCTCTACTAAAAATACAAAAATTAGCCAGGTGTGGTGGGGCATGCCTGTAGTCCCAGCTACTTGGGAGGCTGAGGCAGGAGAATCGCTTGAACCTAGTGGGTGGATGTTGCAGTGAGCTGAGATTGTGCCACTGCACTCCAGCCTGGGTGACAGAGCAAGACTCCATCTCAAAGAACAGACAAATAAACCAAAAACAAAAACCCACCCAAATATTGCAATGCAAAAAATATATATATACTGATTATATCTTGCCTTCTTTCTTCATATGGCAAATTCATGAACTGTCTTCTTTGCCTCGTCCATTTGAGCTTTGTAGTTTGACATTTCTATGAAGTAGACTTACATGGTTAACTCTTAATTCTTTCATCTAATAGGGAATACCTTGCCCTCAATGTTTATGTGGCCCTCTGCTACTATAAATTGGATTACTATGATGTGTCTCAAGAAGTTTTGGCTGTTTACCTTCAGCAAATTCCTGATAGTACCATCGCACTCAATCTTAAAGCCTGTAATCATTTTCGCCTTTACAACGGCAAAGCAGCTGAGGTATTGAAGTGTGTTTTTAATGTACTTAATTCCAATTTGAATTACTTTATACTTTCCAAGTTATTCATGAAATGGTTATCTGTAACTCTTGATTAATATCCCTGTGTCATTGCCAGTGTGATTCTATAAGAACCTAATTGTATGTTTATTAGGTATTCTGAAAAGAATGTTGGGCCGGGCGCGGTGGCTCAAGCCTGTAATCCCAGCACTTTGGGAGGCCGAGGTTGGTGGATCACGAGGTCAAGAGATTGAGACCATCCTGGTCAACATGGTGAAACCCCGTTTCTACTAAAAATACAAAAAATTAGCTGGGCATGATGGCATGTGCCTGTAATCCCAGCTACTCAGGAGGCTGAGGCGGGAGAATTGCCTGAACCCAGGAGGCGGAGGTTGCGGTGAGCCAAGATCGCACCATTGCACTCCAGCCTGGGTAACAAGAGCGAAACTCCGTCAAAAAAAAAAAAAAAGAATGTTGACTTCTGAATTCTTTGTGTTACATCTGTTATATTATAGATGATTTTACTGAGATGCCTTACATTATGTTTAAAACCAAATGCTTCTGTTAATTGCTTTAATTTTCCAGGGCTTAAAGAAAAAAAAAAAAACAAAAAAACCCAAATGCTTCTGGCCAGGCACTGTGGCTCATGCCTGTAATCCCAGCATTCTGGGAGGCTGAGGTGGGCAGATAACTTGAGGCCAGCCTAGCCCACATGGCCCCATCTCTACAAAAAAAATACAAAAAATTAGCCTTGATGTGGTGGCATGTGCCTGTAATCTCAGCTGCTGGGGTGTTGTGGGGCAGGCGGAGGTTTCAGTGAGCTGAAATTGAGCCACTGCACTCCAGCCTAAGCGACAGAGTGAGGCTGTGTCTCAAAACAAAGAAAGAAACAAAAATGCTTCAGCTTCTTCCTCTAAAATATGTATGTGGCTCTATAATCGAATGTCACCAACATACATCCAGTAAACCACATCGGAAACCTGGCATATCTGTTGCTTTCTTCTCTTTCATCTCCATGAAATCATCCCTTAGTTCCTATCAGCTATACATCCTAGATATCTCTTTTATCTATCCCTTGGCTACTGTAATCCGGGAGTTTCTCGCCTCTTATTTTGGCCCTTTAAATAGTGTTCCTACCTTTAGTCAGTCTTGTTATCTTCCGTCCAGCCAGTGAATTTGTTCCATGTGCCATACTCTCTTACCCCCTAGCTTTGTGTACAGCATTCTCATTCCTGGAATTACTTCCTTCTTTCTCTGCTTGGTACACTTTAATTTCTTTTCTTTTTCTTTTTCTTTTTTTTTTTTTGAGATGGAGTTTTGCTTTTGTTACCCAGGCTGGAGTGCAATGGCGCAATCTCAGCTCACCGCAGCCTCCGCCTCCTGGGTTCAGGCAATTCTCCTGCCTCAGCCTCCTGAGTAGCTGGGATTACAGGCACGTGCTACCATGCTCAGCTAATTTTTTTGTATTTTTAGTAGAGACAGGATTTCGCCATGTTGACCAGGATGGTCTTGATCTCTTGACCTCGTGATCCACCCGCCTCGGCCTCCCAAAGTGCTGGGATTACAGGCTTGAGCCACTGCGCCCTGCCCGCCCAGCTAATTTTTTTAAAAATTTGAGATAGAGACAAGTTTCACTACATTGTCCAGGTTGGTCTTGAGCTCCTGGGCTCAGATCTGCCTGCCTTAGCCTCCCAAAGTGCTGAGATTATAGGCATAAGCCACCATGCCTGGCCTTTATATTGGTCTTTTTATGTGTTTTGTTAGATTTGTTTCTAGGAATTTGATATTTTGTATGCCATTGTAAGTGGTATCTTATTTTAAATTTCATTTTTTGACTCTGTAGTGATGCGGAACTACAATAGATTTTTTTTTTTTTTTTTGAGACGGAGTTTCGCTCTTGTTACCCAGGCTGGAGTGCAATGGCGCGATCTCGGCTCACCGCAACCTCCGCCTCCTGGGCTCAGGCAATTCTCCTGCCTCAGCCTCCTAAGTAGCTGGGATTACAGGCACACGCCACCATGCCCAGCTAATTTTTTGCACCTTTAGTAGAGACGGGGTTTCACCATGTTGACCAGGATGGTCTCGATCTCTCGACCTCGTGATCCACCCGCCTCGGCCTCCCAAAGTGCTGGGATTACAGGCTTGAGCCACCGCGCCCGGCCGATTTTTTTTTCAATTTAAAACCAGTCACTGTTTATTAACTGGCCAGTGACAAAAATAATCACAGTGAATACCATAGTTCATCCTTCTGCTAAGCCTGTTGATCTGGTCTTCCCTGTTGCCAGCATCTCTACCTTCTACCAAATGGGTGGTATTTCTCATCATTCCACCTCAGGGAGAAGATAATTTGAAGGGCCACAGGAAGTTGTTTGCTTCTTTGAAGTGTTTTCCAATAGTATAGATCTCATGAATCTGATCTTGCATGCAGATGATGCTGTATTTACCAAGACATCAAGCAGTCAAAGTGTTACTTGTGAAGGCAATCTGCTTCTTACTGATTTTACCACAACTGTGCTTGTAGATCACTTCATTATTAACCTCAGGTTTGGATACTCCCATGTAATGTATGCTTTTACAGTCCTCACCATGTTAACTGAAGGCTTCTTGAGCTTAACAAAGGTGCCATGGAAGATTTGGCAAAGGCAAGGCTTCAGACCACTGGGCCCACACCATTACCCCTGATCCTGATGACAAATGCCAATTTAGGTTCTACAGGTACATAGAAGTTGCCAGCTTTCCTTGCCATCCCAGCCACTGGAGTCTCAGGTCTATACATCTGCCTGTAGTTCTTGTGGTAGTGCTTAGCTGTTTCATAGAAAAGCCTCCTTGCCCTTTTTTTTTTGAGACGGTGTCTAGCTCTGTCATCTATGCTGGAGTGCAGTGGTGCGAAACTGGCTCACTACAGTCTGTACCTCCTGGATTCAAGCTATTCTCCTGCCTCACCCTCCTGAGTAACTGGGGTTATAGATGTGTGCCACCATGCCTGGCTAATTTTTTTTATTTTTAGTAGAGATGAGTTTCACCACATTGGTCAGGCTGATCTCAAACTCCTGACCTCAAGTGATCCACCTGCCTTAGCCTCCCAAAGTGCTGGGATTACAGGCATGAGCCACTGCATCTGGCCACCTTCTTGCCTTTTGAAGCCTCTTTTGGAAAAACATCTTTGTTAGGTGCTTAACCTTCAGCTTTGTGAAATTCCTTTGCTTTGCTTTTCCTTAAGGGGTTCTGGCACAGCTGGAACCTTCTTTTTTTTTTTTTTTTCTTCAATACTTTCCATGGTTCCAGCTGGGAAAGAGTAAATTCCACAGTAGATTTTTTAAATTAACCTAGTAGGATCAGCAGGGTGTTCAGGGTGTGGTAGCTCACACCCTGTAATCCCAGCACTTTGGGAGGCCAAGGTAGGTGGTTCATTTGAGGCCAGGAGTTTGAGACCAGCCTAGCCAACATGGAGAAAGCCCGTCTCTATTAAAAATACAAAAATTAGGCCGGGCGCGGTGGCTCAAGCCTGTAATCCCAGCACTTTGGGAGGCCGAGGCGGGTGGATCACGAGGTCGAGAGTTCGAGACCATCCTGGTCGACACGGTGAAACCCCGTCTCTACTAAAAATACAAAAAATTAGCTGGGCATGGTGGCACGTGCCTGTAATCCCAGCTACTCAGGAGGCTGAGGCAGGAGAATCGCCTGAACCCAGGAGGCGGAGGTTGCGGTGAGCCGAGATCGCGCCATTGCACTCCAGCCTGGGTAACAAGAGCGAAATTCCGTCTCAAAAAAAAAAAAATACAAAAATTAGCCGGGCATGGTGGTGCACGCCTGTAATCCCAGCTACTCAGGAGGCTGAGGTGGGAGAACTGCTTGAACTCAGGAGATGGGGGTTGCAGTGAGCCAAGATTGTTCCATTACACTTCTGTCTAGACAACAGAGTGAGCCTTTCTCAAATAAATAAAAATTAAAATTAAAAATTAAAAAAAAAATTGACCTTGGATCAATTTAAGAGGTCAGTTTAAGAGATCTTGCTAGATTCTCTTATTTGTTTAAATTACATTAAACAGTTTTTTAAAGCAACAAAAATAGTATATAAGTATGGTGTACAACATGATGTTTTGAAATATATATACATTGGGGAATGGTCACATCAAGCTCATTAACATATGTATTACCCACATACTTTTTTTGTGGTGAGAACACTTAAGGTCTACTCTCTTAGCAATTTTCAAATATATAATACGTTGTCATTAACTATAGTCATTGTTGTACAATAATGTTGTACATTATGTTGCACATAATGTATGCTGTGTTGTACAATAGATTCATTGAACTTATTCCTTTTGTATGACTGAGTAATGTATCCTTTGACCAACACCTTCCCAATCTTCACCCTCCTGGCTCCAGGCCCTGGTTACTACAATTCTACTCTCTGCTTCTATGAGTTCAACATCTTTAGATTCCACATATAAGGACATCATGTGATGGTTATCTTTCTGTGCCTGGCTTATTTCACTTAACTAATGTCCTTCAGGTTCATTCATGTTGTTGCAAATGATGGGATTGCCTTCTTTTTTAAGGCTGAATAATGTTAGTTTCATTATATATATACCACATTTTCTTTATTCATTTGTCTGTTGATAGAAACTTAGGCTACTTCTATATCTTGACTATTGTGAATAATGCTGTAGCGAATATGGGAGTGCAGATACGTCTTTGACATGCTGATTTCATTTCCTTTGGATAGATATCCAGTGGTAGGATTGCTGGATCATATGGTAGTTCTATTTTTAATTTTTTGAGGAACATCCATACGGTTTGCCATAATGACTGTACTACTGATTCACATTCCCACCAACAGTACACAAGGGTTCCCTTTTCTTCACATCCTTGCCAATTCTTGTAATCTTTTGTCTTTTTGATAATAGTCATTCTAATTGGAATGAGATGATATCTCATTGTGTTTTTATTTGCATTTCCTTGATGCTTAGTAATGTTGAACATTTTTTCATATACCTGT